ATGTGCCCTGTAGGAAACTGTAAATTTGGTGCTCAAGGGAAAGAGGGTACCAGAAACAGACCCAGAGGTGATTGGGGTCTGGGAGAAGGAACTGGGGAACTGGTGAAAGGATACAGTCCAGGTTCTCCAGAGAAACAGAAATCTCTGTGTGTGTATTTTTAAAAGAGATAACCGGATGTGGTGGCACGTGCCTGTAATCCCAGTGCTCAGGAGGCTGGGGCAGGAGGATCCCTTTGAGCTCAAGGCCAACCTGGGCTATATAGTGAGTTCAAGCCCAGTTTGAACTACACAGCAAGACTCTGTCTCAATAAATAAATAAATAAATTTTAAGGAACTGGTTCACATGACTGTGGGGCTGGTAAGTTGGAAATCTATAGAGCAATTCAGTGGGCTAGAAACTCAAGCAGGAGAGAATGCTGCAGTCATGAAACAGAATTTTTTTCACCTCCAGAACACTGGTTTTTGTTTGTAAAGTCTTCAACTGATTGGATAAGGACTGCAGACACATGGACATCACAGACATCAACATCACTGCTTTTCTTTAAAACCAACATATTATACATGTGAACCACTTCTACAGAATACCTGAAAACAAGTCCAGTGTTTGATTAAACAGCTGGGTCGTATTGCTTAGCCAAACTGACACAAAGAGCTAACCCTGACACAAGGGTAAGCGGGAGGGCGCTTGGCAGGCCTCAGTGGTTAGGAGAGGACGGGGAAGAGGGTGACTCAGAGTCTGATGGGAGGAGAGTGGGAGAAATCACGTGGTGACTGTACCACTGCCCGCGAGGAGAGGCTTGCGGGGGCGGGGAAGGAGTGGATTGCAGGGGGTAACGCAGGTCGTCGGAGGCCAAGTGGAAACTTAGCTGGTTCCTTCAAGATACTGGATCATAAACTGAGGAGTGAGGAGAGAGAAAGTGAAGAAAGAAGGCAGTAGAAAGAGATGAAGTGAACAAAGAGAAGTGCTAGCAGCAGAATTTTCTTTCTTTTCTTTTTTTTTTTTTTAGAATTTTCTTTAGGCTATAGAAAAAGAGAAATTCTTTTTTGGCAGTGCGCCTGAGGAGAGAGCACCCCCTGTCTGTAACTAGCCAGCTCATCAGGGCAAAACTCTGGTTATCGCACATGAGGCCTGGCAAAAGAATGTTCTAGAAACTTCTACACGGGATAACTTTTCCAGCGCACCCTCCAGGCAGGTTCCAGTTGCACCTGGAACTCTGGCCCTTTTTGTTCTAGGTTCCCACGTGCAAGGCCCTGTGGCTTCCTCGCCTCACATGAGAGGTAGGACGAGCATGGCCTCCAACTTCTGCTCCCTCCTTGTGGTTTCGCCCCTCCTGGCCCTGCTCAGCATCCTCCTCTGGACCTGAAGCAGCTCTTCTTGGTCCCCACTGATTCTTACTGGACATCACTGGACAACAGCCTAGAAGGGCAGGGAAGTAGGGACATGCCTCAGCCTGTGTCTGGAGGAATTTAATTTTTTATTGTTTAAAAGGCAACAGAATATAACAGGGGAATGTAGGGCTTCTTTAGACTTTTATTGTGGATTACTATTGTTTTTATTTTGAATTACGTATCGAGGGAGGCACCACAATTCTTTCCATGCATAGAGTCTCTGAGGGCTAAATCTGGCCCTGCCCTCACCCTCTACGCTCAGAGGCAGGAGGATGTGGCAGGACAGGCGAGGAGAGGTGGGGAGAGGCAGGTAGAACAGCTCAGGAAGGGCACAGAGAATCACAGACGATATGTGTGACTGCTGGAATAGCTCTGTGTGTGTGTATGTGTGCGTGTGCGCGCGTGCTGTCTGAAAGTTCAAAACATGCTGGAACATGGAAAGAAAGGTATTTGCCCCAGTGACTAAGACATGTTCCAGCATTTTCCCACAGGCTCCTGCACATCCCAAAATAACTGCAGCCCTGGATCCTGGCCATTGGCATATGATTACATTTGTATAAGGTTACAGAGCAGCAGTCGGGCCACGCTGGCATGGGGGCTTACAGGAATCTGCAGCCCATGATGGAACTCCTGGTCAGGCTTCTTGGCTGGGTGGGAAGGGAGAAATACCGAGGACAGACCACAGCAGTAATACACATGAACTTACCCAAATCCCCAGACCACTGGGAGATGCTTTCCTTTCACAGATGGTGGGGAAAAGGCCCAAGGAGAGGAGACAACTTCCACTAACTTATACATCGGGATTACAAGAGGGAGTAGGTGGGAGACCTGGCACTAAACATAGCTCTTCATCCCTGCATCTAGTCTTGGAATCAAAAGATCTTAAATCGAAAGGATGTGTGTGTGTGTGTGTGTGTGTGTGTGCGCTAGAAATCAAACACAGGGTCTTGAACATACTACGCATGGACTCTACCACTGAGCTAATTCCTAAGAGGGACTTTTAAGGGCCCTCTGGCCATCCTGGGTACCCACATACACAGGTTTGGACAACACTGTGGCCCAAATTGGCCAAAGGGCTCTGGGAATTTGTGGAAAGTCTGAGAAGGCCCAAATGGAGAAGGATTCACCTTGCTCAGGGTGGGCAAGATCTGGAAAGGAGGGTAGGGAGCGGGGATGAGCTAGAGAAGGGGAGACACATAGGTAAGAGAAAGAAAGAGCGGTACAACAGAAAGCCTGGCACCAAACCCAGGGATCCTGACGTCATGAGCTGAGGCTACCTGCTGCTTTCAGTGTAGACACGACCGATGCTCAGCTTACAACAGCTTACATCAATAAACTCATCATTGTTGAAAATATTGTAAATCAAAAATGCATGTACTGTCCCTCAACTACCAAACCTCCTGCCTCAGTAACACAGCACAATGTGGGGTACCTGTTTCCCCCTGTGATCACAGCTACAGCTCACTGCCACTGTCAAGCACCACAAGCAAGATTGGTACCATGTAGCCTCAGTCCAGGAGAAGATCAGAACCTGAAATTCTCGTTCACACTATCTGAAATAAAGTTGAAAAATCCTAAGTTGAAAGTTGGGACCATCTGTAGTAGTTCCAAGTTACTTGCTTCATCTGAAAAAATGAGAAAAATCCCATAGGACTTCGAAACATTATTTTTTAAATGCTCTCTGAGCCTGGAACAGGTGAAAGGTTGTTCTCAAATGTCTGTGGGACTTCAATATCCTCTCTTTCTCGACCACCATAGCTCACTTGCTACTACAGACTATGCACGCCTTGTGGGCGTGGATTCAAATCCTTCCTCTCTGCTCCTGGCCTTGGGGGACATATCAATCCTGCTTCCTCACCTGTTAAATGGAGATATTAGTAACAGCTAATTCTCGTCATCTGCCTAGTGCCACTTTCCGTTCTTTGCAAGTCTGAATCATTTTCTCCCCATTTTACAAACAAGAAACCCAGGACAGGAAAAGCTCGTAAATTCTCATTGTCTCAAAGGTGTCATACAGGAAAGATAGGATTTGCGCCCAGTTCTGATTCAAGTCTGTGCTCTTAACTACAGTGCTGTTGAGGGACCACAGGGCTTGTTAAATAAGCCAAAACCTCCACATTCAGTAGGTTCTCACCTGGTACCTGGGAACTCCCCCAACTCCTAGAGTGGCCATGGCAGTTATGCTGGTCAAGGCCTCACAGCATCTCTGTCCCTGGCCCCCATGCAGGGCCCAGCCAAGCCCCCAACTCAAGCAACATAAGCACCATTCTGATGCCCACATTACATCTCCTCTGTCCCAGTGCTAATGTTACAGCTAACTGGGGTGAACGAAGGCATTCGATGTTAAAAAGCTACTTATGAGCGAGGCTCTGTGGCACATACCTGCAATCCCAGCACTCTGGGAGACTAATGCTGCAGGATCCCAAACTGAGCCCAGCCTGGGTAACTTAGTAACTCAGCAAGACTGTCTCAAGAAAATAAAAACAGCTGGGGGATGTAGCTCAGTGTAAACACCCTGGGCTGTCTCCAGTATCACCCCTGCACACACAAGCAAGCACTACTTATGTTTAGTGACAAAAATTCCACCAACCCAATTCAGTATCCACTCAAGTCTGTTATTGGAGGCCCACTGAGACTAGATGCCCATGTCTCAAAAAAAAAGTGGTTTTCTTTATCTTTGGTTCATTTTAAAAATTGTCCAATAGGTTTCTTTTCCCATTTACATATGGACTTCTAGAATCAGCGGCATGTCGGCATGAGTTCACTCCGGAATGATGCTGGCGGACTCCCACCAGAATGACTTCAGCCTTTCTCAGCAAGCTAAGAGTGGCAAGTACAGCGGTGTGTATTTTTGTGTGGCATCGTCAGGCACCAATATTAAACTCAATACAGTCATGAGAAATTCAGCTCGGGGACTCTTCTCAGCGTTTCTTGCTCAGAGTTCCGAGGTCTCTGGCTTTCTTCTTTCAACTTTATTTGGCAAACAGTTAAAAAAACAAAAGCTGAAACAAAATCTAGTGTATTTGCACATTTTGGGCTGGGGTCCTTCCCACACTTTAACAGCACTAGCATAGAAAGAATGACCTACCTGGTGGCTTCTGAACACATCTGGCCCCTAACCCTAGAGGCTTCTAGGAACCCAGTCAGGGAAGATAAACCTGGTCCCAGTCTGACTTGGTGACTCAGAGGTGTCAGATAAGATGACCCCAAAGCTCTTGGAGCACATTTCCAACCCCCAGTGACCTGGACTTCATGGACACTTTGGCAATGGTGGGAATTGGCTTCCTTCGCGTACTGTGAGCCATCTCAGCCCTGCAGTGAGGCCTGAGGGCGGCCCAGGCCAGGAAGGCAGAAATACTGCCTGGCTGGGGCAGTCGCAGGGGTGGTGTGGCAGGCACATTCCATTACCTGAGTCCCTAAGCCTAGCCCCGGGTTCCAGCTGTATCTGAGACGGACCAACTCATTCTTTCAGGAACCTGGTAGATACAGACATTAAGAGTAGGGTTGTAAATTCATCCACCATTTATTTCTACTAAAGTCAGGGACAATCTTGATGGCACCACTCTTTTCAAAGTTTTACAAATCACACACACATACATACACACCACACAATGAGTTATAGAATTACTTTATTTTTTCCTCTTTGCAAATATAACATTAAAGTCATCCAACATACACATACTATGGCTCCTTACACATCTTATTTTATCTAAATGTAGATATCTGACCTATGAGATGAAAGTCATCCCATTAAAATGGCAACGTTGCTGAAAAATGCGTTTCCTATTTATGTGATGGGAATTCGATGCCCCATCTGCCTCCCCTCCAAATTCCTTCAGTCCAGAGCTACAGGAAGACAGTTCACAATCGTGGCTAACATGTGGTGCCCATGCACAGAAAGGGCCCCCAAACAATAAGCACTGGGGTTAAACTTCTGAAACAAGCAACTTCTTCATTTGTACAGAGTAAGAATACAGAAGAAAAGCATTATTTTCCTTTTAGCCCTTGTATTAGTATTTTGCCTCCACCCAAATCACTGTGTACCAAGTGGCTACAAAGAATAAAAACCAACTGACTTAAAGTCCCTGAAAGGCATGCAATTAAAATTCCCTAAAGCACACAATCAGTTCCAAGTCTGACTTTTATTGAGTGTAGACTACGGTGCAGGGTTGCCGGCCGAGTCTGTTGTGCTGCTAGGGTTTGCAGCTGCTGCTTCTTTGGTTTCTGGCTGCTGGGTTGCAGTTTGGGGGTCTTCATTTCCGGCACTCTTCTTCCCTTTGTCTGCTGCCTCGGCACTCATTCCCATGATTTCTTGAAGTGGTTGATCGGTTTCAAGGTTGCTTGGCTGGAGTTCATAGACCTGGACTTGACCTGGGACATCGATTGCTTTCTGTTCCAGTTTTTCCAAGATGGTCTGAACCTTCCTGACACCATCTCTCCTGGCCTGACGCACATCAGCTCGTCCTTCAGGGTCCACAGAATCCAGGGCCAGGAGCTCTTTGGTCAAATACTCTTCAATCATCAGGTACTTTTTGTCAGTTTTCTTGCCTTCGAAGTTGTCTACAGCCTGCTCCAGCCCCTGCACCTTCTCCAGGATGGCTTCCACTTTCAGTACACCTGGATGTTTTGGTGGGGCCTCAGCTTCTTCTGGTTTAGGGGCTGTAGTTTCTGTAGGAGCGGGGCTGGGGGTTGCCTTCTCTTCAGCAGCCACATTCTTGGCGGAAGAGGGCACGGCAGAAGGGGCGGGGCTGGGAGAAGGACATGGAATTGGAGCAGAAGGAACCTTTACTTCTACCTTCTCAGAAGAAGGGGGCGGCTTCTGGGAAACAGGCTTAGACTCCGCCTCCTTGCGGATCACTTGAATAGGGATGTGTCCAGGAGGGAGATCTGGTCCAGTTGGGACTGGCTTACTTTCTGGTTTGTTTTCTGGTTGGGTGACAGGAAGAGACTCTCGATGGGTCATGGGCTGCTGCAAAAAAAGAAAAATGGACATAAAGGTATTTTTTAATAACTGGCTGAAAGTCACGGGCAGTTGTTTGTAGTTAGTACCAATTAGAAAGAAAATGGGAAAAATTTTTTTTTAAAGTTTAACAGTATCAAAGAATTTCAAAGTTAACCAACAACCAAAATTAAAATACAGTATTAATCATGTATATGACCAAACCATTTTTTAAAATTTCTATCACTCTGGCCTATTTGTAACCTCTCAATGAACTCTCTGCAGATGGTACTACTACAAGGGAGCGGGGACAATATAGTTTTCAAAACTGAAAATAGCAAAACCTTATGCCGACCGCAGAGCAAGGTTTGTTCAGAGCAGAGTCCTGAGTGAATCTGACTCAGGACGCAACCAGGGAGTCATTGCCACAGGTCCTCTGTCCTTACTGTGTAAAGTCTTCTCCCTGTGGTGTGACCTCTTCATCTTCTGCTCCAGAAAACAAATGATCATTTTGAAACCTATGACAGCCTGCCAGGTATGGTGGTACATGGCTGTAATCCAGTCTCAGCATTTGGGAGGCTGAGGCAGGAGGGCCATGAGTTCAAGGCTAGGCTGAAAGAATTGTGCACATCTGTGCCGCAGCCTGGCACTCAGTCATGCTGCAGCATCTCAAGGCTGACTTCCTGCTTTGCAGTCTTTCATGTGACTGGAGGCTGCAGCCATATTTTTACAAAATGAACTATGTTCAAAACAGGAATACCGACCGGGCTTGGTGGTGCACGCCTGAAATGCCAGTGCTTAGGAGGCTGAGGCAGGAGGATCGTTGCGAGTTCGAGACCAGCTTACCCTACAAAGTGAGCTCAAGGCCAGCCTGAACTACACAGCAAGACCCTGTCTCAAAAAAACCAAAACAACACCAAAAACCCCAAAACAAAAACCAAAACAGTAATACTGTGGCTCTTATAGCGTGTAAGTGAGTATCTGAAATCTCTTTAAAAATCTCACCTACCCCAGTTTCATCAATTGAAAAATAAATGGGTTCTACTATGTCTAAAGTGCCCCTGATTTAAAATATTAATCCTTGAAAGCCTCTAAAAATAGTCCTTTGGACACGCTATAAAAGGGAAGTCATGATGGTCAAAGTCAATGGATATGAAAACATGATTAAATATTACTTTACTCATTATTATGGAGAACATTCAGGAAAAACATGGCAAGATCTCTTTATATTGGTACCTCTCCTCTACGATTACGGAACCCAGGTATGGATATGGTGCAATTCAGCTGTCCAGACACCAGCAACCTCCTTTTCCCTTCAAATCCCTTTTGCCAAACTTTGTCCCTCACCACTTACAAACCGGGCACACACCCACTCTGGCCTTTAAAAGCAAGAGGGCTGTACGAGAAGAAACACACAGTGAGGGTGCCCTAGGGCCTGCGCGCTTCAGAAATGTCAAGGTCATGAAAGCAAAGGCTGAGGAGCTGTTCCAGGGACTAAAGAGAGGGGACATCTAATGAGGCATTCACAATCCTGGACTAGACTTTGGGGTGGAGAAAACTGCTGCGAAGACTTGGAAATGGATATATACTGGGGTGAACTGTCCAGAGACCCGGACACCGGGTAATTAATTCCACCATGAGAATGTTACATCTCCTGAATCTAGTAGTACTCTACTGTGGTTAAGAATGTCTTTTTCCCATCCAAGTACTAACCAGGCCCAACCCTGCTTGGCTTCTGAGATCAGATGAGATTGGGCACTTTCAGGGTGGTTTTCTTCTGATTTTTTTTTTTTTTTTTTTTTCAATTGGAAATTAAACCCAGAGCCTTCTTGCTGAGCTCCACAGGCTGTTTTTCTTTTCTTTTCTTTTCTTTTTTTAATTTTGAGACAAAGTTTTGTTAAATTCCCCAGGCAGAGCTCGAACTTGCCATCTTCCTGCCTCAGTCTCCCAGAGTGCTGGGATTACAGGTGTGTGCCACACCCAGCTATGAATGTCTTTTTCTTATGGAAATATGTATTTAGGGGTAAAGGGGCATGATGTTTGCAACAAACTGATTATATGGAGGGGAATGACAATGTAAATGCAGCAAAATGTTAACAAATAGTGAATTTGGACAAAGGGCGTATCAGATTTTTTGCATAAATTTTTTTCAGTACTTATTTCCAAAGCAAAAAGCAAAAACAATTGTAAAATAAGGTAGTGTTTGTTTGTTTTTTTTTCCTTTTCCAGGTCTCTGGACAGTGCCAGTGTCTGTAGGAAAAAGATACCCCACATTTGTTCAAGGGTCTTTGGAGGGCAGGGAAAACCAGGACTGCGCTGCATTTCAGGAAGTGTGTTCGGCCCAAGCAGAGGCACAGAGAAGGCAGTAAGCAGAAGAGGCCCGCAGAGTGCAGAAGCAGGAACAGTGAGGAGACACGTTACCCATTACACCGGATGCCAGCTGTGGCTGGGGTGTGGAGGGCCCTGACAGGATATGGTAGGCACAGAGGAACCTGGTCCCAAGTGTGACAGTGAGAGCAGAAGGTCTGCCCAGCTATTTCCTCAGCCACAGTGGAAAACAACCAGCGAGCAGAAGCCGCAGAAAGTACTGAGAGTTCATGGCCCTCGTTCTGCATTTCTATGGAGGACCAGCAATTTCCAGAATCTCACTTTTTTCCATCGGCAGAGCTGAAGGGGGAGCCCGGCGCACACGCACGGAGCTCTGACACTTCCACAGCAGTCTGCCAACACCTCGAGTTCCTTACCTGAGGCCGGTCCACCACAGTATGCACACGGATGGGTGACGGGGAGTGTACCGGCGTGCTGCTTCTGGCCGGTGAGCCGTCCCGGCTGGCTGGGCCTCGGACTGGGGACATAAATGGTGACGCTGCCCGCCGGGGCTCCCAGTCATCCCCTTGGATCTTGTGGTACACGGGTTGGTGAGTCTGGTATTCACCCTGCTGAGCTGGGTAGTGGGTCTTCTGGGCTTGGTGGAAGGAAGGCTGGGCTGCCGGCCGGGTGACGTTCTGCTCATGTATCACTGGGATGGGGATGTAGCCCCGGGGCAGCTGGTGACTGCTCAGGCTGCTCCTGCCAGAGGAGGGTAGACTGGCGGTGGAAGACGAGGATGAACAGTCAGAGGCAGCTGGAGACTGGGACCTCTGCAAGAGACAAAGGATAGAGGACACCGCCCATGAACGACCGACCTGCTGTTCTGGCAATCCAGCCTTCCACTGTGCACCTGCTCGTGGCCCCACACTCCCTAACACCTCCCACCTGGAAAATGTTTCCATTTCCGAAGTGTAGTGTTAAGGGGCTCGGGCTTTATTTCAGTGGTAGAGTGTGTAACCTAGGTTTCACTGCTAGGACCAAAAAAGACTATTAAGACTGAGAACTCTGGAATAAAGAAGACTGGGTTCAAATTCTTCATGGCTCAATAACTTTCCGACCCTCATCTGAAATATGAGAAAAGAGGAACACCCCCACCCATGGGCTGTTGTGCATTCAGTAAAATCATCTGTGTACATGCCTCAGCATGAGCAGTACACACAGGAAGTGCTGGGGCCGTTGTGTCTGTTGTTCAGTATATGTCTTCTCATTCCCCTCCTTAAGCCTTTTTCTACTAATCTTTCAAGAACCAGCTGAGTAACTTAACTGAGAGCAGGGTCCCTTTGTACAGCCCAGGGCCACCGACCAGGTGCCTTTCTCTTCTGGGCCCCCTTCTATTATTGAAGGGTGTTTCTCCAGTTGGATTCTAAGGACTGTACTAGCTTAAATCTCCTAAGATTGACGTGTCACTGATTTTTGCAGCAAAAACATTACAAATGTAGGTACCGCCTCTTTAAGGAAGGAAAAATGCTTCCTTGTATCTCATGTTTAATCACAACTTTTCACCCCCAAGCAGATCGTGAAGCTGAACAGATTCAGAACAGAGCTGAGAGGCAATCACGACTCTGGATTAGACAGGAAATGAAAATTTGTGCTCAAGAATAATGCCAGGGAACAGGGTAGGATGATATACAGACAGGAAAATGAAGAGCGCTTATGCTCACGAATCCTATTGGATCCACTGGCCTGCAAATCTCAGCTAAGAGCCGGATTAACAACTATTCTTTTGCTATTACGGTACTCTATTAACGCAATGAATCTACCAAGATACCCTGAAGTGTTGGGCTTTGGGGATGAAAGCCTATCTTGCAACTGCTGCCTTCCTAATTCCCATCTGAGGTTCCTTTTAAACTGTGGGGGACACTTTGTTTTCATTATTAACACAGGTCTGAGCAGTTTGCATTTATCTATGAGCACCATACGGACCAAAACAATAATACAGCTCTGTCTGAAATGAAAAGCCCAGCAGAAATAGGGAGCAGCAGAATCAGGAGCCAGGAGGTCAGGTTTCTGGTCCTAGCTCTGCTACTTCTACCTTTACGAATCTGAACCAAGCAGTTTATAGTTTACTCCCTTGGTTCTGGCTCCTCAACTACAAAAACAAACCACGTGAGTCCTGTGCAGGCCACCTGTGAGACACTGAGGGAAAACACACCTGTGAAACACTGAGGGACAATGTGGAGCTATCCAGCTGTCTTGTAGGGGGACCTCTGGTGCTGCAGGGCAGGCCCAGACTCTGGTGTATCAACTGGTGTTTGGCCCAGGGTAAGCAAGGCCTCGCCTTACCTCAGGTCCATGGGAAGCTGGGGGTGGGGCTGCTGCAGCTGCTGCCACCTGGCTGCACTGTTTATCTAGCTGGGTGGCTTCTGGCATACCACCACGCAGAGGTGACTGGGATCTCTGAGGAGCAGCTGCTGCCGCCTCAGTTCGGAATCGCTGCGCCCCAGGCTGGGCATAGGCACGGAACGGGTGTGGCTGCCGGTTCTCAGAGCCTTCATGGAGGACAGGAATAGGAATGTAGCCTGCTCGGAGCTGAGGGTACACAGAATGGCCTTCCCTGGTAGGCAGCAACCTGGAGCCCTCCCGTGAAGGGCCATTGGCAGAGGATGCAGTTTCCTAAAATAAAATGTGGAGAAACGCAGACTGATTAGAAACTGGGAAGAAAACACCCCTGAAGAGGAAGTAGCAGTGTTGAGTACTGTGACCATCCAAAGTGACCTGGACCCCACAACTTAGGACAGCTGAGCTCAGGGAGCCCAGTTACTCCACAGCCCCTGCTTCTGCCAAGTACCCTCTCTCCTACAGAGGCTGCTGTGGGGTGGGTTTAAATTTAAGACTTGGGGGTACCAGGAGGAACCTTGGGGAGCCCAGGTATTTGTTGAGCACAAGGGAGGTCCCAATTCCCCAAACTGGTAAGACAGGTTCTTTCCAGAGGAGAGAAGGGCATCAGTGTAAGTAGAGAGCTGCTGGCTGTCCTCCAAATCTTCAGAGGCCTGGACCAGAAGGTGATCCCCCAGGAACAAGATTAAGCTCCCCTGCTTCCCAAAAGGCCCTCAAGTTTTTGAATCAGAGTTTGTATCAGATCCAAATATGGAGCACAATTTGGAAATCTTTCCCGAAAAGTGAGAAGGGCGGGACACTGCCGCCCCAGGAATATTGTTTGAACAAGCTGCAAGGGAGGGAGCTACACAGGAATGCAGAAGCATCACAGGAAGGAGCAAAACTCCGGGATTAATTGTGCTAATGTTATCATGCCAACCCACAAGAGTGTCCCTGGCCAAACTCCTGAACTACTGACGCTTTGGCTGGGCCCACCTGTGCACTTCCTTGTAAAATCCAGTTTTAGCAGAAGAACTCTGCTAACTCAGGTTAGCCAGAACTTCTCTCCTCCCTATGGTATCTGATCATCCCTGGTATCTGATCAGGTTCCCTGTCTCAACTGCCCCCACCCCAGGGGATGTGTGAGCACCCTGGCCTGTCTGCAGCAAGAATCCTGTTAGGTCAGTTTAGCCAGAATCTCTCCTTCCCTTGATGTTCCTTTCCTTTTACTTGTTTTCCATCCCCTGACCCTCATTGCTGCTTGGCTATAAATTCCCCCTTGCCCATGGGGTACTGGGAGTGGAGCCCAATCTCCCTCCCACTGCAAGACCCCGGTGCAGCCTTTCCCACCATGCCTCAACAAGTAGCACAATATAATTTTTTTTTCTTTAACACCACAAAGCCTAGTTGAGTGAGGAGCAGTTGGGGTCCCTCTCTTATGTCCTCTCATGAAGTTCTCCCTTCAGTGGCCTGGCTATTTTGGGACCTTTGAGAAGGCCAAGTTCCAAAATGTACCATAGGGAAAGATCTTATTTCGGACAACAAGGCTGGCCAGCAGCTCGCTGGGCAATGCCATCTCTCACCAAGGCTGTGTAACACAACCCCTTACCATCTCCTGAGCAAGGAGGGTCCCTCCACAGGGGAGGGGAGCTAATGATCTGGGTCACATGTACATATCTGAGGAGGTCAGTATTAAAGGGAGTGAGCCTTCTTTAAGAAGACATCTCTCTAGCCAGGCGTGGTGGCACATGCCTGTAATTCCAGCACTCGAGAGGCTGAGGCAGGGATCGCCATGAGTTTGAGGCCAGCCTGGGCTACATAGTGGGTTCAAGGCCAGCCTGAACTACATAGCAAGACCCTGTCTAAAAAAAAAGAGGAAGCATCTCTCTGAATGGCAAACACCAAAGACTGAGAATCTGTAAGACTTCAGGGTATAATTATTGCTGCAAAATCAGTCACAAGGGCAGGCACCACGGGCTGATTTGCATCTTGAGTGAAGAGACCATTAATTCTGTGGTGCTGCTATTTATACACAGATGTGGGCACCAGGTGGCTGGCCCTGAAATTTAGCTCTTTTAGGCCCATCAACTGCCTCCCTCCTGCTGAACACAGGAAAGGCAAGGGTGTCACTGTGCCCTTGGGGACACTGCAGACAGGCACTTGGCACTCTCAGATTAGAAGACCCACGTGCTCAGGGCAGCAGCATTATTTTAGTTTGCTTAACTCTCGGGTCACTCCTCTCAAGAGCAGGAGTGGATCCAGGCCTCACACTCACAGCCTGGGTCCTACTGTGAGGCAGGCACCAAAGAGTGCCAGCAAGGGGCACGAAAGAAACCCTCTGCTGCTCAGTATTGAGCCAGAACATTCCTCTGGGAAATGTGCTCACTAACTGGGACACCTTTCCTTCCAGCTGCAATCAGGAGCTGGCCTAAGCCCTGTAAAATCGTTCGTGCTGGCTGCCCAGGGCTCACTGTCTCTTCTAGCCATGTACAAAACCTCTGTCACTGCACCCACCTCAAAGCCAAGCAGCTAGCAAGCCTGGGCTCCCCCGTCCAACACCATGATTAGCCCCAGCAGGTGTGACCTCTGCACTGGGGGCTGATGGGCTGGGCTCAGAATGCATAAAACACACAGGAAGCGAGCAGAGGCTGAGGTAGGAGGGAAGTGCAGGGCTTTCCCAGGGCGCACGTTAGCCCCAGGGCACCCACCTTCATTCTTGCCTCCATTAGTAACAGCTCTGTGAGCTTGGATAATCCTCTTACCTCTGCAAGCCTTCACCTCCTTTTCTGGAAACCAGAACAGGCAATACCCACCCTGCAGAACCGTGGTAGTTTTATAAAACACATTAGGAGGAACGCCCAGCCCACAACAAATACGAGTTCCCTCCCTAAAGAGGCCCAAGAGTATGCTCTTCAGACTCCTAAGTATCACAGAAACCAAAAGTGAAGGATAAGGGACCAAGGATTTAGCTCAGTGGTGCAGCGTCTGCCTGGCAAAGGTGAGGTGCTCAGTTCCATTCCCAGGATCCCCTCACAAAAAAAGGGAAAGACAAAACTAAGTGATGGTGGTAGAGATGGGTGGTGATAAATGGATACATACCTATGTAAAAATCTATCCTCCCTAGAACCTTATACTGCCCACCCATACTACCTGTTTTTAACAGGTAAGAGCTTCTTCCCATGACCCTCGTTCCCAAACCTTGTCCCCTGCCAGGGCCTGCGATTCGTGGGCAAGCCAGTAAAGTGGCTCCTTGGGAAAGCCCCTGGATTTGGAAGGCTATGGAGCAAATTCACATTTTATGCAACTTGGTGACTCTATCCCATACCTCAATTGAAAGAGGAAAGGAAAGAAAGAAGGAGGAATGAAATACAGAAGGAAGATCCAGCCTGATCAATGACCAGGACGACAAACGCTGTTCTCTACAGCCAGTGTCCAACACTGGTCTTTCCAGAAGTGCCGCATCTAGGTCAGAGGAGGAAAAAATGTGGTCACTGTGGGCAGGGTCAGTGTGGTCACTGTCAGAGCAGCAGCTGGAAGGGAGGCTGGACAGAGTGCTGAGCCACAGCGCAAGATGAGGCTGCAGGCCCATGTCCAGTCCTGAGAGGTGCTGACCATCACAAGGAGACACGCCTAGGCTGGATGGGAGGAGCTGACAGGGAGAAAGTACGGCACCTCAGCAAGTGAGGAAGAAGCCAGGCAGGGCTAAGGAAGGGAAGAGAGCAGCGCAGAGACACAGGAGGGAAGAGCGGAGGAGGCTGCGAGAGTCTTCTCTGGCTGGCAGAGCGGGGGAGGAAGGGAAGGGCCTGGTTCTCCACCAAGACCAGGTCTTGAACTTGGAACTGATGGAAAAATCATGCTGGCAGTGGGCACAAGGTGGATGGTTAGAAGAGGAGGGCAGGCTGGAGGCTGCTTTTCCTTACAGTCCTGAGGTCTGTGCTCCTGCGTCTACATGAATAAAATCTGCGTCTGTGAATGTCACATTTGAAAGGAGTTCCAGGCCCCCTTCCACTCTGGGGCTTTGCCTTAGGTAAGTGACAGACCACACTGCTTCACAAAACAGGCAATTAACACTGGCACCTGAATGAATAATCTAAACCAAAAATGAAACTCCTGACCTTAAGGTGTGTGCTGGGAATGCTGATACTTCTAAGGTTCCTACTGTGTCATCGCTATAGTCTTACAGGAAATGCCTGTTTTTACTATGTAAAAAGCACCATCTCGAAGATTCACATTGCCCACTCTATCTTCTATGGTGTTTTCATCATAATCTGGTTTTTAAAAAATGTTTTTAAATGAAAAGAAAATGTGCAATATTTATAGTTCCCCTAGAACAGTGGTGGTGAACCTACGGCACTTGTGCCACGGCCAGCTGTTTGTTACCACTGAAAGCTCTGAAAGGTTTGCCATCACTGCCATAGAATATGACTAAAACATATTTTCTCAGTCCATTAGGAAGTATTCTCAAGTTCAAGCACATGTATAGTGACAGCTTCTTGGTTACACCAGCGTCTTTCAGACCAGACTCACCGCCTGCCCTCTCTGGACTTCAACGGGGACTAAGGAATAGCTCTGTGAGATCATGTCATAGGCAGTGGGGTAAAAGCACAGCCACCAGGCAAGTGACTCCTGATCCGCATCTCGAGATCAGCCTGCAGCTCCACTCATTATCCTTGTATTTGGTAGACATCAGGAAGACATTAAAAATCCAATTAGGAAATAAGAGCCCCAGGGCCTGACTTTCACTGCTTATATCAATACTTTAATTTATCAAATGAATTAGTAATTCTTCCCCCTTGTTTGCATATTGCGTCTGAGGTGTGTCCGAGGGTTCCAAACAACTCCATGTGTGAGATGGCCAGGAGAAAAAGCAGAAACAAATTACCCAAATTTGCCCTATTAAGAGTTAAGACTTTATTATTAAAGAAAGCCTGAGGTCAGATTCCGAGCATGGGTCTGCTGCTGGCTTTGTCTGCTTAAGACCATACCTAAGCTTCACTGCTGATTTGGGACAGGTACACAGGCTCAAAGGGAACAGTTAGGAGACCTGAAAGAAACTGTACTTGGTCCTACTTCCTGCTCTGCCCCAAAATGTGTTACCTAAGCAGCTTGCATCCCCTCCCTGGACTTTAGTTTTCTCAGCTGTAAAATGCAGGAAAGGCCCAGAAATGTTCTACAAACTGTGGCTCTCCATCTGCAGGGGCAATGGAACATCCAGGAAACAAACAAACAAAAAAAAGCAGATTCTAAGCACAGCCCGATTCAGTCTGACTTAATAGGTAGGTACATGAACACCTTAA